ATATTTAAACATATACAAAGAAATATTTCCTAGCCTTACAGGAAAGGCAATTTAACCAATGAATCACAGATGTTACCTGTAACCTAAAATTTCTAATACTACAGGAGAGAAAGAATACCAATTCATAACAGATCATGTTTACAATAGAAAAAGGAATACAAATGAATTTATCTGTATCACTGGTCCCCCAAAATTGACTTTGCCATGAAAGCCCCAGAGTAGAACTTACATCAAGGTAGTCATTAAATTCCAAATAAATAATCATGCTTGTTTTGCTCTTCAGTGCTGGGGATCAAACCCAGAGCTTATTATGCAAGCAGCTCTACCACTCAATAACATTCTTAGTCCTTATTTTTTCCATTTGAAACAAAGGTGAAATGTTAGAAAAAGTGAAAAGGCTAAATGCAAGAGAAATAAATAAAATAATGTATGATTTTAAAATTAATTTTGAACTCTTCAAATATGTCTGTGATTTTTGTGTATTATACTTACTGCCACATATGCCTGTAATCAGGGCTATTTAGGCAGAATGGAGCTCAGTGGTTAAGATTAAGGTCTTGGAGTAGCAAACTGCCACTTATTTGGTATGACCTTGGAAAAGTCACTTAACCTTTCAGAGCTTCAATTTTCTTATCTCTTATGCTGAAGATATCTGAAAAGCACTTTCATAATGCCTGGAACAGTAATACAGTAATAAATAACAGTTGTTAGAATCATCAGTCCAATCTCTGCAATTTGTATTTGTAAAAGACATGTGGTGATAGGGCAAGGGTTGTTCACTCTTATATTCCTAGAAATATTACAGAAGGCTGAGATCCAAGGATCATGGCTCAAAGCCAGCCTGGGCACGAAAATCCCTGAGACTCATCCTTAATTAACTACCAAAAAGCCATATATGAATCTGTGGCTCAAGTGGTAGAATGCCAGCCTTGAGCCAAAAAGCTTAGGGACAGCATCTAGGCCTTGAGTTCAAGCCCTCATGCCAACATACATGCACATACACACTTATGCCTGCACACACCATCAGAGATGGCTATATAATCCCTAATATATATATATATACATATACATATATGTATATATATATATATATATATATATTATTGTGAAAATACCATACAGAGAGGTTACAATTACATGGGCAAAATAATGAGTACATTTCTTATCAAGCATTGTTGCCTCCTCCTTTGTTTCCCCTTCTATCCCTTCCCATGTGCCCTCCCCCAAAGTTGTAAAGTTCGTTTTCAACATAACGATTTGTATATCTCATTGTTGCAATAAGTCCACCTGTATCCCTATTTAAACCATTTGTTTTTTCCCTTCCCCTCCACAAATTATACCAACATCAAATACAGTGAAAGCAGGGGTTATACCATGGGGGAGGGACATACAAAGCAACAAAGAAATCATCTTATAAATATGTTAGAAACAATTGCATAAAAGCAAAAACATTTGAATACTTATCTTGGGGTTCATTTCACCTAACATCAACTTATCTGACCTTTTCTGCTTGTCCCAGACACATACTAGTTATTGAAAATAAGGGAAACCATGGGGCCTATGTTTCTTTGAGCCTGGCTTACTTCACTTAATATAATTTTTTCCAAGTCTTTCCATTTCCTAACAAATGGGGCAATGTCATTCTTTCTTATGGAGGCACAGAATTCCATTGTGTATATATACCACATTTTCTTGATCCATTCATCTACTGAGGGGCATCTGGGTGGTTCCATATCTTAGCTATGGTAAATAATGCTGCAATAAACATAGTCATGCTGGTAGCTTTAGTATGGTCTTGTTTGTGATCATTTGGGTAAATGCCCCAAAGTGGGAATATATTTTTTAATCTAAAGGTCATACATACTTGTTTCTCTTTGTAAATGGAAAAATCACAGGCAGAAGGACAGGTAAATGTTTGAAGAAACAAACAAACAAAAAACAAACAAGAGGCAAGAACCTAAGAATATCCACCAATATCTTACAACACGTCTATAGCCACCTTTGATAACTAGTTCAAACACTAATATTCAAGGCAAGAAAATAACCAAAAAGTCCTCCCATCTAAAAACAGAAAACTAAGTAAATTATGTTTTTCTATCCATTAAGAGGTAATAGAAATTTTTTGTTTTATTTTGCTTTTTTTGTCAGTCATGGGGCTTGAACTCTGGGCTTGGGCACTGTCCCTCAGCTCTTCAGCTCAAGGCAAGCGCTCTACCGCTTGAGTCACAGCGCCACTTCTGGTTTTCTAGTGGTTTATTGGAGATAGGAGTCTCACAGACTTTCCTGCCCGGGCTGGCTTTGAACCGTGATCCTCAGATCTCAGCCTCCTGAGTAGCTAGGATTACAGGCGTGAGCCACTGGCGCCGGGCAAATTTTGTGATTTATGTGGTTTTCAGAGATTAAAATCAGATATACTTCAAATCTACTTTGGCCTGGTTAGTTTGCTCCTTTACAATTGGGGCTCAGAATGTAGCCCAGGCTTGTTATGTTCCTGCTTCAGCCTCCCAAGAGCTTTTGTTCCACACATGTTCAGCTTCAAATCTACTTTATTTTCTATACCGATATTACAAAATATATATCTAAGATAATAAAGCGATCTAACAAAGTGAGAGGATACCATACATTCAAAATTTTTTTTTCTTGCTTGATGATAAGAAACATCTCATGGCAGTGACAATGTAAAATAAAAAACCTGTCTTAAATTTTACCTGATTAGTCTTCTTAGAATAATATCTAACACATCTAATTTTCTATAACATCTAAGAGACTTAAGTATACTATATAATTTCATATCTAGAAATAATTATAAGGAATTATTTCTAATTTGTATATGTAGATGCAGAGTTGAAATACTCTGAATATAACTATATTCTTGATATTTATTACCTAATAATTAACAGGCATTTGTTTTGTATTTACTACAAAGCAGGCACTGTCCTAAGGACTAAGTAAGGATGTTTGTTCTGTCCCATTTCTGGGGCAGAAGGGCAGCTATAAAGAAATAAGGATATGTCCGAGTGTTAATAAACATTATAATAAAAAAAAAGTCCAGGTTATGTGGTTTTTAAAAAGTGACTGTGAAGCTCTATCAGACTGGTTGAACCCAAAAAAGCTATCTCATTTCATTTTACAACACCTACTCAATAAGAGTGAGATTTGCTGCCAAAAATTATAGTCTTTCCTTTAAATTTATTATTGTTATTGTAAAGATGATATCCAGAAGGGTTCCATAAGTCAGATAAAGAACACATTTCCTTTTGAACAATGTCACCCATTCCCTTGCTCTCTCCGTTTGTCCCTCCTGTCCCTACCCACAAATTGTACAGTTCATTTTCAACAGAGGGTTTAGTCAGTGTCACTGCTGCATTTGTTCATCCTTTGTCCCACCATTTCTGTGCCCTCCTTACCCTCTCAAAGATAAATGAACAAACAAGACAAAAAGGAAATGAAAACAAAAACAGCAACAAAAGTAAAAAACATCCTCTTGTTTCTACTTCTTGGAATTCATTTCAATAAATATTATTTTATATGGTCAGATGCACATAGCTATTGTGCCTATATGATCCTTTCCTAAGAACATCCTCCTTTGATCTCACTGTGTAAATGCCTACGGACAATTTATCATGTACCAGTGTAATGTTTTTTTCTCTTTTACCATCCAGTGTGCTTACTTACAGATTTATAGGCACATTCTAGTTACCACAAATGAGAGAAACCATGCAACCTATGTTTCTTTGGGTCTGGCTTACTTTGTTTAATATTATTTTTTCCAGTGTTTCCATTTCCTGATGAATGGTACAATATCATTATTTCTGATGGATGTGTAGAATTCCACTGTGTATATATAGCACATTTTCTTGATCCATTTGCCCACTAAGGGCAAAAGCTATAGCCTTTACTCTCATGCTTCTCCTTCCCTCTTGCCCTGCCCCCTGCCCCTTACTGGGGATCAAATGCTGGGCCTTGTAAAACTAGACAATCATTCTACTAACTGATGTACTTCCCAGCCCTTGGTGTTTTGACAGAGTCTTGCTCTGCAAAAAACAGTTTGGCCTTAAACTTGTGATCCACTCAGTGGGAGCTGGCATTACAGGTATGCAACATCACACCCAACGCTTGATAGTTTGGTAGTAACAAATGAACAAAACCATTACTCAAATATTTTAAATAAATGTAAACATTTTGCCAGGCTAGGAAATTAAAATTTAATAAATTATAATCAAATCACTTAAACTCTTTCGAGATATACACAGTAAACAACATATTCATGAGAAATGATCACAGGCAGGGCTGGAGGTTCATACCTATAATCCTATGTACTAAGGAGGCTGAATCAGAAGATCATCATGGTTCCAAGCCAGCCTGGGCAGGAAAGTCCATGAGACTCTTATTTCCATTTAATTACCAAAAAACTAGAAGTGGAGCTGTGATTCAAGTGGTAGAGGCGAGCCTTCAGAATGAATGTTCTGGGATAATGGCCAGGCCATCAGTACAAACCCCAGGGCAAAGGAAAGAAGGAGGAAGGGAAGGGAGGGAGGGAGGGAGGGAGGGAGGGGAGGGAGGGAGGGAGGGAGGGAGGGAGGGAGGGAGGGAGGGAGGGAAGGGATCACAAAAGAGAAATGTAGACAACTGACATTTTTTCATTAATTTCATTTACCCATTACTTTTCTAAACTATAATACAATAATTTTTAATGTTCATGTATGTGCTGGCACTAGTGATTGAACTGTGGATCTCACCCTTTCACTTATCTTGCTTGTTCATGGCTACCTATCTAGTACTTTAGCCATACATCCAGCCCTGGTTTCTGTGATTTATTTTGCAGACAGAGTCTCAGGGACTTTTTTCCCCCTTGGGCTGACTTTGAACCACAACCCCCAGATCTCAGTTCCTGAGTAGCCAAGACTAAGAGTTAACCACTGGCATCCAATTAATCTTTAAATATTTAATTTTACTTAATATTAAATATATTAACATAATAAATTCAAACTTTAACTCACCTGTGTCTGTACACAGTGCAGATGATCTATTAATGTGTGCCCAAATCCAAAAGAAATCTGCAATGTAAACAAAGAAGCATGAGTAAACTCTGCAGTGTCCTGCTGGACTCTCTAGAGTAAATATGAATTTTACAGCTAATCTATGACTAACACATGCTTATCGCCATCAATATACAGTAGTAGTCATTAATAACAACTCTCCATTAAGTTTCACAGTAAATCAAGAGTAGACTTACTTCATTATTTGTATTTATGCAAGACAGTGTAAAAGTACAGAGTAACATTTCACTGAATTCTGTGGTGTTACAGATTTTGAGTTCTCATCATTAGACTACACCTCATCTACTTGTCTAATCACTAGCTTTCCTTACCAGACTAGAAGCTGAGTACCAGCAAAGGCTCTAACTACCCATTTCCATACTTCAGGCTGTAACACACAGTACATTTGTTGCATAAATGAAATATTTACATAACAACCTTATTTGACATGACTTATAGTTTACCAAATATGAGACTTTTAAAAAGCCCTAGAGTACTTAAATAAAATTATATAGCTCAGCGCTACATATGTGACTCATGCCTGTAATCCTAGCTATTCAGGAGTCTGAGATCTGAGGATCAGTTCGAAGCCAGTCCAAGCAGGAAAGGATTCTTATCTCCAGCTAGTCACAGAAAATGCCCAAAGTGGCATAGTGGCTCACATGGCTAACCTTGAGCAAAAGGAGCTCAGAGACAGCACCCAGGCCGAGAGTTCAAGCCCTAGGACTGCCTCCCCCCCCCCCCCCGCCCCCGATAATCTATGTAGTAACTTTAAAGCAGCAAACAAAATGACTGACTTTTGAAAAGTCTTTATGGAAGTAAGAATGTACTACTTATTACAACCATAACAATTTGCAAAAGAAAGGTGCATAAGAAATGGAAGAAGTGTACATGTTTAGTGAGAGGAAGGAATCTATATATCATTTCCTCAGGTCTATATCTGAATGAAGGGCTGAACCCTCAGCCAGTCTGCACCTAATCATTCCAAAGTTTCTTTCCAAGATACACAGTGAAAAACAAGATGGAAATATATGCTTATGACACCTCATTTACTATTTACTACTATTGTGCATTCATTTATTATTTATTACTACAAGAAAAGCTGAATGACATCTATAATAGTGGTACTATGTAGCATTTGAGGGGGAAAAAAACAATAAATTTAGCTTCCAAGGATATTTTTGACAATAAGCCAAGAAAGTTTATTTACCCCTTAGAATAACATCAATCAGTAATAATTTGTTTTGGATGATTATACTGTAAAATAGTATTAATTCTTCTAAGAGTCCTATAGTCTTTAGTAAACTAAAGGGGAAAAGCTAAGGAAGTATGCTCTGTCTTACTATGCTATAAATAGGTCACTGTCAGCAGGCATAGTGAAATAGCAGAAAGAGCCCAGCATCTTTAGACCTGGCCTTCACATTCTAGTTTTATCACACAGAAACTGCTGTTATGGTAACAATAATAGTTTATTATTACCATCAGCTTAGGTATATGACCTATTGTCTGCATCACGGATTCAACTATGGAAAGTTAGTACTATAATACCATCTTTGTAGCATCTTGGAAACATTTAATGATAGTAGGCATTATAATTAGGTTTCTACAAAGTATGATCATCTAAAAGTGATGGCTGGTATGATAGGTAACTCAGTGATATGAAGTAAAATGGAACTTCAGGCCCACCCTATCTCAAATAACACTGATTTTTCCCTGGGGTGTTTCTAGCCTTTTAACTCTCCTGAAAGATGTGCTGATGTGGAGACTGCTAGGCAATTTCTAAACTACGGCTGCTTTTAAACTCTATCATTTGGAGGCTGAAATTAGGAAGACTGTTGTTTGAGGTGAGCACAGGGACATATGAACCACCTTTCCCAACCATAAACTGGGTGTACTGATCATCCCAGTTATATGGAAGGCCAAGATAGGGAAGATCATGGTTCCAGGCCAATCTGGATATGATGGTGTGTACCTGTCATTCCATTCACAACAGGAAAGCTAATATAGGTGGATCATGGTCTAGGCACAGGCCTAGGCAAAAAGTGAGACCCTAGCCCAAAAATATGGCTTAGTGTTGTTTATCACGCTTGCTTAGCAAGTGCAAGGCTCCAGAGTTCAAACTCCTACCACCACACACAAAAAAAGCCTACATCATAACTTACAAAGAAATCACACTACTTACTTCAATGCTTACTATAAAGTAGCAGTAATCAAAGCTGCAGAGTATTATTAGTATAGGAAGAACAGAACAGAGCTCATCTATGTCCATTCATATGAAACAAATGGTGTCATGGCAATTCAGTGATAAAAAGATAGTATTACCAATAAATGGTACTGCAGACTGGTTACACATATGGAAAGAGGAAAAGGAACTTCAATCTTTACCTTGCACCATGTGCAAGATTAACTTGTAAAGAATGTATCACAGCTCTAAAACACTAAAACTTGGTTGAGGATGTAGCTCAAGGTGTTCAAGGGAAAAATAAAGTATATATCATAAAAGAAAAATACTTATAACTTGAACATCAAATTTTCATATTTCTGTTCCTCAAAATACATCACTTTAAAAATGAAAACACAAGTGACAAAATGTAAGGAAATTATTTACAGACTTGTCATGTAATAAAAGATACAAATCTAGAATAAAGAGCTACATAATTACATGATAAAGGGCACATGTCTACAAATCATAAAGAGCTCTTATTCAATAATAAGACAAATAATATAAGCTTTTAAAATAAACCAAGGAAGGGGTGGGTAGAAGAGGGATGGATGAGAATGCCAAAAGGGTTGACACTGATCAAGATGTATTGAATTCATAAACTGCAACTCCTTTGTACAACTATTTAAAGATAATAAAATAATTAATAAATAATAAAATAATGCCTGAGCTATCAGCCTATAGTGATTTTTAGGAAGTAGTAGAATCTTACATTTTTTGTATTAGGGGCATTTGGATAACATTTGCAGGTCCTACAAAATTATCAATGTAGCAGCTAACAACAATCATGTCTGTCTCATGATATACCAGATTATTCTGTGTGCCTTATTGACAGGAGGAAGGGCCTAGTATAAGGAAGTTAACTGAAGTTGTCTTTGAAGAAAATACTGGAACCCAGCCCCCTTTCCTTTTCTTTCTCTGCTTCCTAGCTGCCACAAGGTGAGCAGCTTTGTTCCAACACAAATCCATCTCTATCATGATTGTTGTGCCCCACCACACACCCCAAAACAGCGAAGGTGGGTGGCCATAGGCTGAAACCTCAATCAGGAAGCCCAAGTAAATGTTTCCTCTTGTTAAGTATTTATGTCATGTATTTTGTCACAGTGACAGAAATTTAACACACTCATCATAGGAAAAACACATGAAAAAAAATAGTATCATTAGTCATTAAGAAATTGAAAATGCAGCTGAGCACCGGTGGCTCAAGCCTGTAATCCTAGCTACTCAGGATGCTGAGATCTTAGCAGTTTAAAACCAGCCTGGTAAGGAAAGTCCCTGATATTTTTATCTCCAATAAGTCACCAAAAAACTGGAAGTGGTGGTGTGACTCAAGTGGTAGAGTGCGCTTGCCTTAAGCTGAATTGCTGAGGGACAGTGCCCAGGCCCAGAGTTTAAGCCCCACGACCTCCAAAAATAAAAAAGAAATTTAAAATGCAATCAAACATCTTATACAACCAGATTGGGAAATACAATGGTATGCAATTTGGGAAAAGTGTGGGAAGTTGTCTCATCCAACACAGCAAATTCACCCTTGTATGTTTTAATTTCTCCTAGAAATGTTTACACGAAGTACTCTTTATAAATGCCCACAGCAATCATGTCCCACAATAGCTCTGAAATGGAAAGCATACCAATGTTTACCAATCAGAAAAAGTAGTTCAAGCTGGGCGCCGGTGGCTCACACCTGTAATCCTAGCTACTCAGGAGGCTGAGATCTGAAGATCATGGTTCAAAGCCAGCCCAGGCAGGAAAGTCTGTGAGACTCTTATCTCCAATTAACCACCAGAAAACCAGAAGTAGCACTATGGTTCAAGTGGTAGAGCACTCGCCTTGAGCTGAAGAGCTGAGGGACAGCGTTCAGGCCCAGAGTTCAAACCCACTACCGACAAAACAAGGAAGGAAGGAAGGAAGGAAGGAAGGAAGGAAGGAAGGAAGGAAGGAAGGAAGGGAAGGAAGGGAGGGAGGGAGGGAGGGAGGGAGGGAGGTCTATCCACTCCATAGAATGCCATTGAATAATAAAAAAGCAATGAGTTACTAAAATATATAACAATGTATATAAATCCCGAAAATATGACAAATGAAAAAGGCTAGGCACAAAGACTACACTGTATAATTATATTTGAAATTTCTAAAAAATTCAAAAGCTGACCCATGGTTTCTGAGATCAGGGAACATTAGTGGGGAATTACTGAAAATGGGCACAAAAGAATCTTGGGAAGGAACAGAATTGTTCCCAAATTAGACCATATTCTAAAGAAAAAAAATTGAGACACAAGATTCATACAATTATATAAAATTTGCTAAATTTGTATTTAAATATACTTAAGATGAACGCATTTTATAGTATGCAGGTTATATCTCAATTTTTTAAAACTGGCTAGTCAGGAGGCTGAGATCTGAGGATCCAGTTTGAAGCCAACCCCGGCAGAAAAAGTCTATGAGACTCATCTCCAATTACTCGCAAAAGAGCTATAAGTGGAACTATATCTTAAGTGGTAGAGTGCTAACCTTGAGCACAAAAGCTCAGAGACAGGGCTCAGGCTCTGAGTTTAAGCTTAGGACTGGCACAAAACTAAAAAACAAAACCCTACAAATGTTTTAAATTCTAAAATAAAGTTGAATGCTAGATGTCGTAGCATATGCCTGAAATCCTACCTAGAGAGTTCCAAACCAGCTGGGGCAACATGGTACCCTGCACATACACATAAAAAGTTAAATAATGTTTACAAAAGCACCAGTGTTCCTGCTGTTCCTTCCCATGCGATAGCTAACGTTATTGTGTGAGTGGAGGCAACTA